CCCTTTTCAGTGTGTTTCTTATTCACTCCTCAGGTTTTATCAGGATGCTCAGCTGCCAGCCTCTACCACCTGAGCTGTCCTCATTAACGCAAAAGTATAATTAAAGCCAGCAGTGCAGTTTCAGCCTCAGACATGCACAAACTAACACTTCCCTTCGGTCTTTTTGTCCACACTGAGGACACAGTCGTGTTGCTTGTACTTTTTAAATGATTTTGAATTTTAGGCGGACGGTGGATGAGGCTTGATGTTTACAGTCAGTGTGAGCGCCACATGGTGGCTGTTCGATTGACCGCTGCAGTGTGAGCGGAGAAGTGACAGATGCTGACTGTGGGAAGGCCCATTAACACATGCAGTGTAAATTAACACATCGTATAAGATTCATAAGCTCTCGAGGTTAGCGAGGCTTTCAGAGCACGTTGAGTTCAGACATGGTGGGCAAAGCCAAGTGGGCAGAGTGTTCAAAACGTCTGCATCGCTGTCGGGAAAATATTCAGTATGAAATTTCGACCTCTCAACTTTATTACTTCAAGAAAGAAACTTTAATAGGAATGTAGCCAATTAGGGCGAACACATAACAAGCCTAAGCTATGTATTGCCCACCTACAGCCAGTGACCTAAGTGTTAAAACACACCTGACATGCCTACTTGGATTGAATCCTGTTCCCAAGATAGAGCTCGCCTACTGAGGTTCATATTATAAATGCAAACTGTCGTCTTATATTTTAGGGTATTCAGCTCGCTTTCTCTCAGTTTTGCCTTCTGTGCCTGACTGGATATTTGGCCATGTGGGTCTTTATCAAAGTGTGCAGGGAATCAAAATCCAACTAATCCAAAATGTGACCACTTTGCTTGAAGCATAGACAAACTGCAAATACTCGGTCTCAGAAACTGACTGTATGTAGAGGTGGAGGAATCCTACATCATGTCAGCCACAGGTTTTATTAACACTGTAGTTCGGTGTGGTGACTCGGACTGTCGCCATCTTAGCAGTGCATGACTCCTCCTGACTTTTGGCAAATCAAAGAATGAGCCTGAATACAACCTAAATGCTTGAGCTCTATAAAAAAACAACCCCTGTACAGTTAGCTTATAGAAGGGAGCAGGCTGTAAACCTGTTTATGTCTGCTGTGAGGTTGGACATTCTAACATGGGGGGTCTTTGACTTACTTTTGCAACCTCAAGTGGACTTTTGAGGAATCACAGTTTTTGGCTTTTCCATATTACCTTCATTTTCCAGCCATGGAGGTTGCTGCTTGGTTTCAGAGGGCAGTGATGCTTTTGTTGTATCCTGTCTAAAAGTCCCTTAACCCTAACAGGATGCTAGAGCTGACAGAAACTAGTGCACTGCCAGGACAGTGAACATCCCTGATGGTTGATCTGTTTCTCGACTGGTAAAAGTTGTTCTTTAGATAAACAAATGTGCCAGAAGGCATCGTGTGCACACGGACAAAGTTGTTGCTCTGAGAAGATCCTGCTATGACAACATTTCATCAGACAATTTAATCAAGAAAACATAGGTTTCAATAGGCAAGGGTGATGAATCGATAGTGATACGTACCACACACTTTATTGATAGCAATAAGAAAATAGTTTGATGGAATTTATTAGAGTTCATTTAACACTTATGAGTAATTACTATCAACTGAAATGAAGCATTATATCAAGAAATTTAATTCAACCCAAGATTTACTCCTGTCTTCAGCTTTAAACCACAGCTAAGCTACAGAGCAGCACTTCAGCTTATAAAATGTCCATGTTGTTTTTACTGGTAGAATATAAACTACAGTTAATAAAACCCAAAACAACCTGAGGTTAGGACCACTGTGTCCTCAGTGGTAGCTGTGGCCCTGATAGTCGTCCAGGTTTGACCCCATAACGACGGGTGCGAAGCCTTAGCAACAGTCACACTCACAGTAAGCTGTGTGAAATAAACTGAATCCATTTCATAACATGTATTATTATTTTTTAATGTTAGTGGAGGTTGAATTTATTACAGTAAAGGACTCTGGACTCACCCAACACATTTGCTTTTTAGAGCTTTGACTCGTGTCATGTCAGTCCATCGCCACATGATGGCAGAGCAGCATCAGTAAGCTGTAGCATAAAGGAACCAGTAGGAGTGAATGTAAATGTACTCCATGATTAGAAGTTGGTTCTGCTTTCCATCAACTGTACGAGCATCGTAACAGCTGAGCACGTTGTTGGAACAAAGGTGGATGCTAAGGTGAGAGAACAAGTCTTCCTCATCTTCAGACAGTCAGGGAGCGGCTTGTGGGAAAGGGAAACTCTGATTTTCACCCAGAGGCCAAGATGAACCAGATCAAGTAATTCCCAAACCTCACCTGTCCAGATATGTGGCAAGAAGTGATGCCTGGACAATCTCATGTGTCTCCACTGGTCTATGAGGGACCAGAGATACTGAGGTATATGCACAAACGTATATTGTTTTATTGACAAATTTGAACTAGAAATGACAAAACTAAGTTACCCCTGGATCTGCAGCGAAGCTCCCTAACTGTTTGATTTTGTAGACAAGAACCACATTACCCAGAGTAGGGTTGGGTGCCAGTAACCAGGTCCAATTTTGATATGTGATATATTTTTTTTTATCACTTTTCACTTGTTCCAATTACAGTGCCCAGTGGGATACATATAGGTGGCAGCTTGTCACAGACATCCCCAGCTAGGGCAGTTACTCAAATTATTAAAGTCACCGTATGGCCAGGTGCAATATCTAAATCAACAGGAGCTGCAATTTTTTGATAAAGGTAAAATGTGTCACAGCAGACCATTACAAATGAAGCACCGTGGTGCTGCAGAGATGCCCTGGCCTACAAATCATACTCTACAGATGAAAGGAAAACTGCTTGTTTGGTGCAGACTGCCACAAAAAATATTTTCATATTTTTTCAGGGGAGAAGAAAAAATGAACAATCCCACTACCGTCCTGGTTTATACGAGGGGAGGTCAATAAGTTTGTAGAACAGGGTATTCATCCAAGCCTAACACAAAATGTCTTTACATATCTAGACAACACAACACCTCATTGGTTCAAACATATCAAGTGTTTTTGTCACAATATATCTGTGTGATCCTCAGAGACATTCTAAGTTAATGTTCATCTAGCAATGATGGAAAATCTAAATTTTGAGTTTAGGGCAGGAATAAAAGTCCTCACACAAATCTGG